AAAAAAAAAAAAAAAAAAAAAAAGGCAGAGTGGATGAAAGAAAAAAGTCCAAGGGTGTGAAAGGAGAGAAAAGCTTTCCTGGCTGTTTCCCCTGCGACTGTACCGGGGAAGGGCCCAGAAATGATACTTGAAGTTATATTTATTATTGTAAGAGGGGTATGATATTTCTAGGCAGGAATGATGGATGACAACTTAAATTTGTGTCCAGGGAATGAAGGTGAAGTGTGACAGAGTTATTTATCTTGGGAATGGAGGTTAGGGTCAGCCGAGGCTGGGTGCCTGAAGGCACAAGACATTGACGAATTTATCCTGCAGGCCGTATCTGAAGCCCTTTGTTTTGGATCCTGGCTACTCACTAAGTGACCCTCATCTTTCATGCTGGCAATGCGTGAAGGATGCGGTGAGTGCCAGAGGCCCCTTCTCCCCGGCCGCCCCCACCCCCCGGCTGCCGCTACTAATTCTTGTCATTCACTTTGCTGACAGGCACCAAGCCCAAACTATTCCCAGTCCTGAAAGGGAAGGTTAAAATATTTATTTCGGCTCATAATGGCCTCCCTGATTTAGTGCGGGATCATTTTTCCTGTTGCCTTTGTCACTGCAGGTCACTGGAAGGGCTGAGCGCGTTCAGGAGCCTGGAGGAACTCATCTTGGACAACAATTTGCTCGGGGACGACCTCGTGTTGCCAGGGTTACCCCGGCTGCACACCTTAACCCTCAACAAGAACCGAATATCCTTTCCTCTGTTCATCGCCCCCCACCCCAGCTCCCTGCTACCCCCACTCCCTGCTCGACCCCGCGGCGTCCCCTCCCGCCACCCCCCGCCCCGCCCCACGCAAATACCTGCAAAACGTCAAATGAGTTTTATGTGTCAGCTAAATTAAAGTATGTGAAATACAGTCCGTGGGCAGACAAAGCGTTCTGTCTTCTGGCACTCGGGACACTTCAGAGTAATTTATTATAGGTCATTCATAAATGAAATGCACCATTATATCTTCCTGTTGCTCCATTTTAGTGTAGAGATCTAAGTTATGGCTGAAAGAAATCTTTTTAATAGATAAAAATAGAGAAAGAAAATAATGTCACTGCTACCAGGGAGGCGAAGCCGGGCCTGTTTCCTTGGGCTTGTGTGGGAGGGCGACCTCTGGTGGGAAGAAAGGGGTAATGCCTGCCGCTAAGCGAGCTTGGCCTTCCTGGAGGTTTCTGGAAGGCGCTGGTGCTTGCTAAGGGACAGTTCTCGGGAGGGACAGGAGGGACAGCCGCGAGAGAGCTGGAAGAGGAACGCGAAGGCTGGTGAGGAACGGACTACGGGAGTCATCTAGGATACAGCTTCCCCTAAGTAGATGAGAAGCTGTCTAGCGGGGGACACTCTGGATTCTGTTCTGGGGATGGAATCAGCACAGGACTCTTGCACAGTTAGTTATGGATTGTCACGCTCTAGAATGCCAGTTTGTGAGGCAGGGGCTGCTCCCAGTCCTTCACACGCACTGCCTGGCACAGGGCACAGGTCCATAAAACTTTGTAGGATGAACGAATGCATGGTCATCATTAGCTTTCCTTGGTGAACACCTCGTAGGCATCAATGTACTGGGTACTTTAAGTAGTCTAGTTTTCATTCTTGCCAAGCCCTAGGAGAAGGGTGTAATTTCTCTACTTACTTAGCCGTGGAAAGAGGGGAAGTGTAGCCCTCAGCAGACAGCGAACAGACTGAGTCTCACCGTGGGTACAGCCAAGGTGCTGTCTATTTTATTGTGGGGCTCAGGCCTGAGGTCCAGTTGCTTTGCTTTATTGCTGGGACACTTGCGGTGTGGAGCTGTGAAATCACTTTTTCACATCTGTGTATTACGAATGCAAAGGGGACCAGGGCATTTTCTCCTAGATCATAAATAATGAAGATATACAAGTTAAATTTAACATATATGTTTATGGCAACATTTAAGAATGGTTCTCCACAGCTTTTATTAGTCACTATTTATACTTCAAGCCAAAGAATTAATATTGTCTGCATTCTGTGTTGTATTAGTTAACTCTTGCTGCTATGACAGAATACCCTAGACTGGGGAACATATATTCTTCTTAGTCTGGAGGATGCTGGTCTGAGATCATGGTGCCAGGATAGTTGGGTTTCTGGGGCTGGCTTTTTCATGTTGTATGTTCACATGATAGAGAGAGACAGTTCTCTAGAGTTTCTTATGGCACTAACTCCATCATGTGGGGCCCACCCCTATGAGCTAATAACTTCTGAAAAGGATAGGATTTCAACATACAAATTTTGGGGCATTCAGACCTTGTAATTATGCCTCTTGTGACCATTTAAAATGGACACTTGAATAAAAATAGAAGATGAAGGCTTATAAGTAAATCCGCAGCCTGTGCCCTAATGGAATTTTTGTGGATTTTTCCCTCTTCTGTGTTTGATTAACCAAGTTTCCTAGACACCTTTGAAAACATGTAGTCAGTGTGTCCTGTGGTTTTCTTGGCTGTCATAGGTGATAAGTTAGGCAATATTCTCAAATCAGTCAAGGACAGAGGATGATTAGACTAGAATTTGGATGGTAGGGTTCCTTGCTTGGGTCCCAGTGCTCATGCCCCGTGTCCCATGTCACTGTACAATATTAGAGTTCATGGATTGGGTTCACACCTCAGCTTACTCATGTTTAGCTGTGTGACCTTGGATCAATCATCTTCTGAGAGCATGAAAGAAATAAGTTGGGTTGGACGATGGTTTGTTTTATTATGACTAACAGAAGAGCTGAGGAGGCCTTTTGGCTCCAGAGCACTGAGAAATTCTCTGTCTTTGGTTAAGTCCATGCTGTGCTCCACATCTCAATGTTTTGGATCTGTAACAAGGACAGTGCTTGGGAGGGAGCAATGATAATGGCCTGGGAAGGGGTGAAGCAGAAGGCATGTGTAGCTGTAAACCCGATCACCTATAGCTCGGTGTAATTAAAGTGAACTTTATTATTTGTGGATGTAGAAGCCAAGGATCGGCTCTATCGGGTGTAACATGACTTCTTTCTCTTTTACATCCCATTGCACTAGTCTGATCACGAAGATCAGCCTCCCAATCTACTTGATCTAGAAGTCACTGAATGAAAGGTAGGTAAAAGCAGGCAGTATTACCTATTGTCCTATCAGCCTAATACTTCCAACTCCAGCTTTGCAACCCTGCGTTTCTCCTGCCTTACTATGAAAACGCCCTGGGCTCTAGAATAATTACCAAGTTCCATGTACTTCTTGCAATCCTGTGAAGTGCCTTGGAAGTGGGCTGTCTTAGTTAGCTTTTGCTGCCTAATAGTCCATTTCAAAATATAGCAGCTTGAAACAATAAATAATTCATTTGTTTATGGTTCTGTGGGTGCATTAGTTGACCAGAGCTCAGCTGGAGGGCTCTTCTGCTGGTCTTTTTTTGCGAGGGCAGTGTATCAGGAATTGAACTCAGGACCTCATGCTTGCCAGGCAGGTGTTGCACCAGTGAGCTAAATCCCCAGCCTTCTTCTGCTGGTCTTACCTTGTGTTACTCATGGGGCCACAGTTATCTGAGATTTGACTGGAGCTGGATGGGTCAAGATGGCCCCACCCATGTGTCTGGAGGTTGGTACTGACTGCTGACTGAGCTACACATCTCTAGCAGGTTACATAAGCCACATCCTGTCTGAGGAGTGCTCCAGGAGCTCAAGCCCTACTGTACCAGTATTTTGCAAGTCCTGCTTGTATCTTGAAAGCAAGATACACATACCAAATGTAGAGCACATGTGGAGGAAACCACGCCAGGTGTGGATATGAAGAGGCACAATTCAACCCTGTGGCACAGGCCGTGACATCTGTCTCCTTGTAATTTTACTACATTTTTAATATAAATAGAACTCTAGAATCAAGTAACTAAAAGGGTATCAGCTCTTTCTTTTAAATTGAATCTTTCAACATATAAAATTTGCTAACAGCTTTTTAAAAAGTAGGTTCTTTTGTGAAGTTTGTTTTCTTTTTTAATTTTTTGTCTTGGTATCTATAGATACCCTGCTTAGTCTATCTGCCTTGTAAATCTAGATTTTTTCCTTTTTTGGTTTTATTCACAGTTAAGTGTGTCTGCACCAGTGCTCCGTGTAACTAGACTCTGGGAACGTGGGTTATTGGCTTCTTTTATCCTTTTGCAAGAGGAAATATCACATAGTGGTTTAGAACAACAAGTTCTGAAGCCAGACTCCCTGGGTGCAGTCTGTCACTTGCTGCGTGACTTTGGACAAGTTATTTCACATCTCTGTGTTTTCATTTCCTGTGCAAATTGGGACAATAATAGTACTGACCCCAGAGGGAGTTTTGAAGGATATTATAAGTAGCTCACCAATATGAGATTCTAGTAACATGGAGAGAGCAGTGTTAGAGTTAGTCTACTGTTGTTATTACTGTCCCAGAGAATTATGGGAATGTATGTGATGTGGCTTTGGCTGAATTCTAACCACTTTTATAGTTTAATATTGCCCCAATATCATTCTCTGAGTTGGGTGTAATTGATAAATATTTCTTCTTATTTTTTACAGAAAAGCCAACAGTGTGTGAGTTTTTAGAAGTTATGGAGATTGTCAATGGTGAGCTTGAGTGTAGAACCCAGGTATGCTGACCTGCAGCTCCAGGCTCTGAAACTCAAAAGAGGGGCATCACTGCCCAGGAGAGAGATGGAGATGTGGGAGGAGTCAGCTACCTGTGTCTGCCCCAGCAGGGCCTGTTCCCAGCTGGGGCCCAGGGAGTCCGCTCATGAAAGAGATTCCAGAACCCAAAGTCAGTAGCATCTGGCAGATTTCTTCTGATTTCACCAAGCAACACCTCTCCTCCCATCTGCATGCCTCCTGCTTGATCTCCCATCTTTGTTCTACCAGCCCTTTCTTCGGCTTGTGTTCAGACCTCAACTTTGCTGTCCTGTCCTGGAATATCTGAAAACTCAGTTGTCTCAGACAACCTCTTTGTCCCTTGCTTTGTAGCTAGCTCTCCCTTCTTCCTCTAGTTCCTTTAGAGTGGCCAGGTAGTCACTGGCCATGGACTGAACCCCCCACACCATATTCTCATTCTCTTGCCCACCATAAGCATGTGCAATAAGAGGTAGGATATTTGGTAATGGACTCCACCTTATCAAGGCTGAATACTCAGCCCCAAGTATTGGACCAACTGAAAATTCAAGAAAATGTGGATATTTAACCTTTATACCATCAAATGATTCTCCCCTACCTTCCCCTTTGGGGATAAGCTAACCTCATTTGAAATCACCCATCTGTTCATCTCTGTCTCCCTGTTTGCTTCAGCACATGCTTGGAAGAGGCAGTGACTTTGAACCATAGTATTAACGGGAAGAATAGCATGTGTGGCCTGGTACCCAGGTGAGGAGACCACAGCACAGGATCAGCGGCTGAGCCCGAGTTCTGACAGCAGTTTACTGTTGTCTTGGGGAAGTTTCTGTGCCTTGTCAGGGTCCTCAGTGTCTTTATAAAATGTGTAATATAATATTGCCACTTCAGAGTATTGCTGAGAGATTTACATGGGAAATCATTTTGTTAACATAAAAGACTTCACCATTTCTTTGCACGTTTGACTGTAAGCTAAAACCTCAATGCTTTAAGAAAAAATAGGCTCAAATTGGAAGTATCTGAGGTACAGAGCACAGCTGGCTGACAGCACATTATGGTCTCTCCCAGAAACATATAAGACTCCTTCTGCTCCAGTGTTTTAACTCCCTCCTCTC